AAAGATCTAGAATAAATTTTATTATAACAGGTAAGAAATTTTATTCAGTAGTTTTTATCTTCAGAAACTTATCTACTGTGCTAGCAAGCGATAAGACTCTTACTTCTCTCTTGTCCATACTCTAAAATTGCTTGAGCACAAGACCTAACGGTCGCTCCAGTCGTTAATACGTCATCAATTAGTATAACAATATTATTTAAGCTTAAAAAATGTATATGACAAAGTAATTTCACTTAAGTCTTTAGTATTATGATCACGCATTATTTCGGGGTCTACAAAGAAAGATACTGGCATAGCTGCCTTTTGTCCTGGCAATAACATCTGTTCTTCGAAGCAGAAACATGCAATTTTATTAAAATATTTACCTGCTTTAAAAGGCGTTACATTGTATACAGCCATTCCATATAGAGGCTGGTTAGATAGATTTTTTGCATAGTAGAAAGCTAAGCTTTGTTCTCCTATTTTTGTGTCAATGTAGTTCACTTCCGAGCTGAACTCCCAAGGTAAATCAGGCATCACGTCGGCATTAAAATAAATCCTAAGTTTTTGATCAGTTCTATTTACTGTTGGATTGATTACCTTTTTTATTGTACCACCATAACCGGTAGCCTTACAAAAGATCCTATACAGTGGCACTGATGCGTATGCAAAACATAGCATTGATAATGCTAATGATGCCAAAAAGAAGACCATAGATTTATTCTTCTTTGAAAAGAAGAACATCTATAATATCTATTTTTTAATCTCTATTATTAAGCAGGTTTAGTACCCTGAGTAAATTGAGAAATATGTTGATAAAGTCGAAATAAAGACTGGTTGCACCTAGTATTGCTAACTTTGTAGTTGCAACGTCCGACCCATCATTGAACCTATAATAAACATCTTTGATTCTTTGGGCATCATATGCGGTCATTAATGTAAATACTATCACTGATACAAACGATACTGCAAAATATAGCGAACTACTTCCAAGGAATAAGTTCACCAGAGACGCAATAATTAATCCCCAAACTCCCATGACTAAGAAAGAACCCATACTTGTTAAGTCCCTTTTTGTGCTATTACCATATAAAGCCATAGAACCGAACATTATCGCTGTAATAAAAAATGATCTTGTTATATTTGCTGCAGTATACTTTATAAAAACATACGACAGAGAGACGCCCATTAAGGTTGAAAACGCGAAAAATATGATAATCGTGGATTGAACGCTAAGTTGCGGAAGCTTATAATACATGAAAAATACCAGCATAATTGGAGAGAACGTTACCATGAGTGATAACATGGGACTAGAATGTATTACTTGGAACAAACCAGAAGATACAATAAAGAATGCAACGAATCCCGTAACCCCAAGAGCTAAAGCCATGTAATTATATACCTTAGTTAAATAATCTCTTAGCCCAGCACTATAGTAAACGCCCTGAGAGCGGATATCTTGTTCATTTTTCATAAAAGACATAATTTAATTCCTTTCACTGCTTATTATAAAATATATTATAATAGAACATTATATCTTTATCAAGCAAAGAATTATAATGATCTACATTATCTTAACTAAAAATTCATTAATAACTTTTCTCTAAATTATTCAATACAAATTACTGTTTGCGCATCGCCCTACCAGCACGCTTACGTTCATTGGGGTCAAGAAATTTCTTTCGTAAACGTATAGATTTTGGAGNGTATAAAATATATTATAATACAACATTACATTTTTATCAAGTTAAGAATTATAATGATCTACTCCATCTTAACTAAAAATTCATTAATAACTTTTCTCTAAATTATCCAATACAA